ATAAAACAAGCTGTTTTTTATAAGCTGTCCTGGGGCCCTCTTGGGCCCGTCTTGGGGCGCCTCTGGGCCCCTCCGAGGGCCCTGGGAAGGGTCCAAGAGGGCCCCTAGAGGGCTCCCAGAGGCCCCCAGAGGGGGCTCCAAGAGGACCCGAAGAGGGCCCAGGAGTGCGTTATAAAACAAGCTGTTTTTATAAGCTGTCCTGGGGCTCACTTGGGCCCGTGTTGGGGCGCCTGTGGGCCCCTCCGAGGGCCCTGGGAAGGGTCCAAGAGGGCCCCTAGAGGGCTCCCAGAGGCCCCCAGGGGGGCTCCAAGAGGCCCCGAAGAGGGCCCAGGAGTACGTTATAAAACAAGGTGTTTCTATAAGCTGGCCTGGTGCCCTGTTGGGCCCGTCTTGGGGCGCCTTTGAGCCCCCCCCGAACCTTCTGGGAAGGGTCCAAGAGGGCCCCTAGAGGGCTCCCAGAGGCCCCCAAGGGGGCTCCGAGAGGCCCCCAAGAGGGCCCAGGAGTACGTTATAAAACAATCTGTTTTTATAAGCTGCCCTGGTGCCCTCTTGGGCCTGTCTTGGGGCGCCTTTGGGCCCCTCCGAACGCCCTGGGCAGGCTCCGAACGTCTCGGGCCTGTCTTGGGGCCGCCTTTGGGCCCGTCGGAAGGCTCTGGGAGCCCCCCGCCCTCCGTCGAGGCCCCCCGCGGCACGCGCGGCCCCGGGTGCAGCTGGGACCGGAACGTTGCTCCCTGCAAGGGTCCAGGAGGGCCTCTCTCGGGCCCTTCGCGGAAGCCCTCTTGGCGCATGGGGCAGCCTGGGGCAGTCTGGGTCAGTCTGGGTCAGTTGGGTCAGTTGGGTCAGTTGGGTTAGTTGGGTCAGTTGCTGGCCCAGTTGCTCCGCCCACCCGTTTCAGTTGCTCCGCCCGCCCCCCGGCCCCCTTGGCAGTCTGGGGCAGTCTGGGGCAGTCTGGGGCAGTCTGGGGCCTGTCTGGGGCAGTCTGGGGCAGTCTGGGGCAGTCCGAGGCAGTCTGGGGCAGTCTGGGGCAGTCTGGGCCAGTTGGGGCACTCTGAGGCAGCCTGGGGCAGTCTGGGGCAGTGTAGGGCAGTCTGGGGCAGTCTGGGTCCGTTGGGTCAGTTGGGTCAGTTGGGTCAGTTGGGTCAGTTGCTGGCCCAGTTGCTCCGCCCACCCGTCTCAGTTGCTCCGCCCGCCCCCCGGCCCCCTTGGCAGTCTGGGGCAGTCTGGGGCAGTCTGGGGCAGTCTGGGGCCTGTCTGGGGCAGTCTGGGGCAGTCTGGGGCAGTCTGAGGCAGTCTGGGGCAGTCTGGGGCAGTCTGGGCCAGTTGGGGCACTCTGGGGCAGCCTGGGGCAGTCTGGGGCAGTGTGGGGCAGTCTGGGGCAGTCTGGGTCAGTTGGGTCAGTTGGGTCAGTTGGGTCAGTTGCTGGCCCAGTTGCTCCGCCCACCCGTCTCAGTTGCTCCGCCCGCCCCCGGCCCCCTTGGCAGTCTGGGGCAGTCTGGGACAGTCTGGGGCAGTCTGGGACAGTCTGGGGCAGTCTGGGGCAGTCTGGGGCAGTCTGGGGCACTCTGGGGCAGTCTGGGCCAGTCTGGGGCAGTCTGGGGCAGTCTGGGACAGTGGGGCAGTTGGGGCGGTCTGGGGCAGTGTGGGGCAGTCTGGGTCAGTTGGGTCAGTTGGGTCAGTTGGGTCAGTTGCTGGCCCAGTTGCTCCGCCCACCCGTCTCAGTTGCTCCGCCCGCCCCCCGGCCCCCTATGCGCCACCGGGGGCGGTCTCAGTTGCAACTGGGGTGGTTTCAGTTGCTCCGCCAATTGTTTCCGCCTCTGAAAAGCCAACATCGCCTCAAAGATCTCTCGAGATTACCCAACGCGGTCAAGATAGCTTCCAGCATGCCTTTAAGGGCCCTGAAGACCGCCCCAGGACGGCTCGAAGTGCGTTCCGATCCGCCCAGGGGGGTTCCAAATATTTTTTTGGCGACTGCAAGTCACCGAAAGCGAAATCGTGCAATGGCCCCGGGCTCGGGGGAGGAACAGACTACCCGGCAAGTATACGGCTACGTGTCGGAAAACAAATCTCACGGATTCGGTGCGCGGGTGATTTTCCGCCACTGGTTAGGAGAACGTTCTCCTAACAAAACGTGGGAGGCCCCAAAATTGCCCCACTTGGTTCAAAACCGTTTTTTTTTTTCTTTTCTCCTATGTTTTTGTTGATGGCATTCTCGCCTTGTCGCCGCTGATCAACGCAACTCGCCTGGTGACTGCGTTTGGATATGCTGGTGGGGATGCGCGAAGCGTGAATAATTGGAGAACGTATGGGTCGTCCAAGATTCCGTGCTCGTCGTATTTCCACCCATGGATCTTGCGGGCCTCCTCCACGCGACTTCTCCCTGGCGGGCGCGGTCCGATATAAATCGACGCCACCTGGCCAATGCAGTCCTGAATGGACTCGGCGGTGTGCAAGTCGAAATCAGCCGCGGCAGCAGTGGACGGAGTTCGGAAGTAGTCGTCGC